CCATAGACGACTATAGATAAAAATCATTTTGAAACACGTTGTATAGCGTTTCCAGTGAATAGATTAAACTTTTTTAAATATACATTATAGGAAATAGGTATCTAAAACAGTGTAAAAAATCTTGGAATTATAATGGATTCGGATTTACGAACATCTCAACTTGATTGTAAAGAGGTCTTATATTGCATTAAAAATGTTATTATATTCCAATTATCACATTTTGAACTTTAGACTTCGAAAAAAACTATGCGAGTCATTAGTGCTTTCCATCATTGGTCTAATCATTTATTATTCATGTTTAGATTATCTAAATATAAATTACAAAAAATACAAAATTCGTACTCTCGTTTTATTTACTAATTAAGAAAATTTGCCCATGTATCTCAAAAAACAAAATTCTTCTCATTTGTTTGAAGAAAAACTTTCAGTGAACAATTTTCGCAAGAAGATAAAAACACATTTTTTGAACTTAAAAAACATAAAACTTATTGTTTTAATTCCTGTTATCTCTACTTACGTAGTTTTTCTTAATTTTAGTTAAACTCTAATGCAATTTTTCATTTTTCTTTCTTTATCATTTTTTTTGTTTTGTTTAGGGGGTTAAGTATGAATAGCAGTTGCTAGACTCCGAGTTGTATTTACCTGTACGCTTTATTATTATTATTATTATTATTATTAAAATCTTTAAAACAGTCCTATAGTGGCAAACACAGAATTTTGGATATCAAATTTATGTCAGTTCAAAAAATGTCAATGTAAGCCACGCTTTATTGTCATTATGATTGACGTTTGAAACTAAAATTTGAAAGTTTTAGTTGAAATTTATTTTTAACTTCGATTTTCCGAAATAATAATGCCAGCAATACGTGTTTTTATATAAGTTCAATAAATTATTTTGATTTGTTATCATTTTTTTCTCTAGCTATCAGGATAAAAATTACAAAAACCAAAAGTGAAGTTAGTTGTCTAAGGTTCGTTTTACATTTTTATGTCAGTCGAATGACAATTTGTCCAAAATTTCGCGTCCGCCAGTGTATCTCAAGACCGCTTCTGTCATGTTTTGTCATTTCAATCAAATTCGAATTCAAAACGTGTAATGTTGGAATATTTGGAATTATTTTGATTTAAAACCATTTAGTTAATTTCTTAAAGGTTAATAATCGTTTTTAGTTTGTGTTTTGTTAAATATTTATTGTCAAGCTCTCTGAGACAATAATTCTGTCGGTAGTTCCATAATTACAAAAACAGCAAAATTCCAAAAACTACAAACCTATGTTTTCATGTTACCAAATAATTTAGCCTCCTCAGATGTATCACTAGAAGAATCTATTGAAAGTCTTGTTGCTACTGTATACAATTGTGTGAATGGTCGGCAATCTTTACCTTGGTAGAATTGTATAGTGTATAACTTACACCTATTCTCAAATTACCTGGTTAATAACATATAATACTCTCTGAATGTGTTATTGTATATTTTATACCTTCTTTATGAGATGTTTACCGCATGCCACCTGGAGTGTAACAAGATATGAATAATTGTTAGTACAAATAGACTGGACACAGGCCACAAAAAATCAAAATATTTAATTTACTACTTGCGCTTAATGAGAAAACTTTGAATGAACAAGGGTTAAAAATCGGCGAGATGCAAATAATCCTTCCATGATTGTTCCCATCGCTATCAATATCGAGTTTAAGCCAAGCATAAAATATGTTCGAATTCTCCCTTTTCCTCTAAACTAATTGAAGTGTGATCTTTATAATAATGATTTAGCCGAGTTCTGATTCCCAATTCTCGGCGGGTGTCAATGCTTATCGGTCCGCAAGAGCGCCCATTAGTGGCCCCGTGAGAACCCTCTCACACATCCCTTCCTGCATTTTCGAAAAATCTCTCAAAACAAGCAATTAAAAAATTTCCAGTTCCACAGGTGGGTCAATTAGAATAAAGTTTCCTTTATGGTTTCCAGTGCAGTAGAGGCATTTGATGGCGTTAACAATTTGAAAGGGAGCACGTTTCCTCTATAGCGCAGTGATTAGTTTCGCTATAACGTCAGTATTAAGCCATTTGGGTGCCGTAAACGGTCTCATATAAAACCGAGCTCGATGAAAAACTGCCATAAAACACCTGCATAACCTTATTAGTTACGGTGAAAACACAATGTCGCAGTATCGCTTAATATCGGGCTATTACGCAGTTATTAAGGCAGCATTGTGTTAATGGAACATTAAAAGATCAAATCAGTCATTTCTAACATGCACGTTTTAATGAATACAATGAAAAACCACTTTTTTCATTTTTACACAGGGAGACGGAAAGAGCCAACACCGGATCAAAACGGAAAGCATGCACGAGATCTCAAGAGCCTAATTCAAAAAACAAAAGACCAATTTAATAAGGATCAAATTTAAATTGAGCCTTTATTTGCCTACTGGATTTATTATAAGCCACTTATATTTTTAATATGAGTTCGAGAGCCCGTTTATAATAGTTTGAATCGATTCGATAAGCTCAATGTAAATATGAAAAATGATAAATTACCTGATAAAAACAAAGCAAATGATAATAAAACGCAGCTTGCTATCACACAAAAAAACGTAATTAATAACGAATTATAAATGGTACCGACGTAAAGTAGCAAACAAAAAATAAAAAAATATGCATTAACAACATACTCGAAAGAGCATTATTTCAATGCTTTTGTGATTTTATTAACGTAACAATTTATGCAGGTTTATTAAATTTTTAGTTTTTAGATTCACGATACCTAAATTATTAGATGTTAGTGGAAATTTTTAAAGATCTGAAAAACTGTAATTAATTTTAATAAAAAATTTCATTAATTTTGTTGTATTTTATTATGCTATACTTAATTATACAGGGTCCGAAAAACATTAAAAATTGAAAAAAATTTTGAAGGTTTCCTACGTTAAAATTCTTCTTATTTTAATTTCTTAATTAATCACCCCCCCGAAATCTTTTAACGTTATTTGCGGACACCTGTGTAGATGTATTTTATTAAATTACTTATACAAGTTGCGCCAGAACTCGCGCCAGATAAGGTACAATTCGCGTAGAAAAAATTGTCCTAATAAACCGCCCGGACCCTTAGAGGCTTAACCCATAAACCACAACAATAAATCTTTTCCATTGTAAACGTTATTTTTTATTTAACAGTATATTTAGTTTAAAGTAAAGCTCAGTTACCGATTTTACTTTCAATTGAGAAAAAAAAAACAAATTATTTTAAAAAATTCACAACTTTA